CTGTTATAGTCTTATTAGAGCATGGAATTACTATCCATAGAAATTCTATGGTACCGTTTGGTTCATTTAAGATTTTTACTTCATTTGATTCTTTCACATATAGTACCATCCCCCACCAGCATGACACTTTGTCCTTCCGATATATTTTGTACCCTGGTATTACTGTGCCCCATTGATTATCCTCATTTAACCAAGTTTCTGTGATGCCTATTGCATCAATAGCCTCATTTAATATGAGGCACTTTAGTTCACTCATCTTATTATTTAGACTTCTAGCATTGGTATATAAGCACTTTAAAAACTTGTCACTTTTTAGCTATCCTCTATTACATGATGTAATTGAATGCGACTCTTTCATTTGACTTTCTCATCAGATCCTACCTGTATTTTTATCATCTTCCATCTTCTCCTCTTTACTAGGAAATAGAGAATCTCCATTAATAGATCTTCCCCTAAAGGATGCCTCTGTCCGAACTACATGCTCCTCTGCACCTGCCAGCTTTCCCCCAGCTCTTAGTTTAAAAACTGCTCTATGCTGGCACTTAAAATTAAAAAGGTCAATCTGGTTCCATTTTGATTTAATTTAATTTAGCCTTTCAGAGAATGCTACCATGGAGGTCCTGGACCTCAAGTCATCTGGTCCACCCCTCTACCAATACAGGATGGTTCCTTCTATGCATTCTCTTTTGTTTCATAGTTGTTTAATAGTTCCGAAGCAATAAAGCTTCCACCACTTTCCACAAGAGCCTTTAAATGTAATATTCTGCCTACCAGTAAGATGTTCCTAATATTTAGCCTGAATTGCCCCATTTTATAATATCACCCATTACTGCCCTTATACAGTAACTCCTTGCTTAATGTTGTAGTTATGTTCCTGAAAAATGCGACTAAGTGAAATGATGTTAAGTGAATCCAATTTCGCCATAAGAATTAATGTAAATGGTTAGGTTCCAGGGAAATTTTTTTCACCAGACAAAAAACTATATATTATATAGATATACACACAGTGTGTGTTTTAAACAAACAATTTAATACTGTTCACAGCTATGATGATTGTGAAGCTTGGTTGAGGTAGTGAAATTAGAGGGTGGAAGAGGGAGGGATATTTCCTAGGGAATGCCTTACTCCTAAATGATGAACTAGCACTCGGCAGAGCCCTCAAGGGTTAACACATTGTTCTTAATGTAGCCTCTCACACAAGGCAGCACGAACATGAGGGAGGGGAGACAGCATAGCAGACAGGGACAGACACACACTGTGTGTGGGAGAGAGATGCACACTGCCCCTTTAAGTAAGCTGACCCACTCTTAAGTGCACTGTCTTTTTAAGTGGATCGGGAAGTTGAGATAGCAGCTGCTGCCCCAAGCTCGCTGTCTCTCTCCCTCCGTGTCCCCTCCTTGCTCTATATGGAGAAGGGGTAAGGGGGGGTGCAGGAGCAGGGGGACACCCTGACAGCCTCCCCCCTTCCCAGCAAGCAGGAGTCTCTGAGAGCAGCTCCAAGGCAGAGGGCAGGAGCAGCACATGGCAGTGGGGGGAGGGACAGCTGAACTGCCAATTGATAGCCTGCTGGGCTGGCTGCAGCACATGGAACTTAGGGGAGCGGGGGAGTTGATAGGAGGGCTGCTGGTCCACCCTGGTTACAAGCCCCCACCAGCTAACTGCACGGGCTGTTCTTCCTGCAAGCAGTGGACAAAGCTGGCAGCTGCCAGATAGCTCAGTGGTTTGAGCATTAGCCTGCTAAACTCAGGGTTGTGAGCTCAATCCTTGAGGGAACCAATGAGGGAACTGGGGTTAAAACAAAAAAAAAACACCTCTCTGGGGATTGGTCCTGCTTTGAGCAGGGGGTTGGACTAGATGGTCTCCTGAGGTCCCTTCCAACCCTGATATTCTATTCTATGTTCCCTAATTGATCAGCAACGAAACAACGTTAACTGGGATGACTAACTGAGGAGTTACTATACCAATCTAAATATTTCCATCTTTCATATGCTTGTAGAGGACTGTTATACTCTCTGCCCCCTTCTCATCACTGCTTAGCTATATATTTAGCTTTTAATCTTTCCTTATAAAATCAGCCCTGCCTCACACTCCACTTTTGTTGCATATTGGAAAAATGAATAAAGGAGAGAGCATGCAGTAAACTGTGAGCCCAGAACTAAACATTATATTCCAGGTGTAATCTCACTAGAGGCATACAGAAAGGGATTGTCTTAGCCAATTACATATTAATATAAGTTGCTGTCCAAAGATCTCTTGCCATTACTACTTTCCAGGTTTATCACTCCAATTGATTATATGGGTGTAGGGGACGTTTTGACCAGATGTATTGGCTTGTATTACCAAAATGAATAATTATTTCTTACTTGCATTCTCTCTCCTTTCACTAATGCGCCGAACTAGGATCAAGGGGTCCCTTAGAGATTAAACAATGATACTTCAGGGTTTTTTATTTAATGCCTTACTTGTATCATAACATCAGCAAGTTTTTTACATTACTGCAATCTTTTAGCTATTTTGCTTATTTTGCACGTGAAGTCCAGTGTACAGTGCCACTGAAGTACTATTAGGAAGATTTATACAGGTCAAGTCCAAACAAGTCAACAATGTGTGTGGATGGGAAGAAGCAGAGTAGATGGTTGCTATGTCTGTCATCCCTTTCCAGGGAGGCCAAGCACTCACCTAGCAATTCTAGAATATTACAATTCTAGATTTTGTGTCATCTTCGGTTTCACTTTTTTAAAGGAAGAGAGAGACTAGATTACCCTCAACAATGTTGGGGTTTTAGTTGTTGCTCACTAGACTGCTATAGAATGTTGGCTATGATGGTCAGAGAAATGCCACATACATTTTTTTAAAAGTTTTTACTATCTGTATCTCTACAGTGCCTACCACAATGAAACCCAATAAAAATAAAAATGTATTCATTTTGGGGAAAATCAGAGTGTCCTAATTACTGCCCTGAGAGGAACAGCCATTCAATTAGTAAGTGAAATTAAATGCCACTGTTAGCAGCCACCATACTAGAAGTTGATAGGATGCAACAGAAGAGAAAAATCCCACACATTGCATTCAAATCACCCTTCTTCATGCTTTAAATTTTACTTCAGTACATTTCTAAACTAATCAGAACTTTTAACCTCACCAATTAGTCATTATTTTCATTTCCCACAGTAATGCACACAGTTAAAATTGCTCAAAGCTGTCATTGTTTCAGCCCCTCCATATCATGAAAAGACAAGATGGTAGTATAATTACTAATTATCTATCAATATGAGTTACAGTTCTGTTGAAGGGTAGAGAAAGCCAAAGAGACTGCCAACCTCATACCACAAAAAGTAATAAGATAGTGTTGGAGGGAAAATGGGTTTGAGCTTATAAATAAATCCTGAAAGTGGAAGCAAGGTTTAAAATTTTCCTTGAGGGGACAGAGAAATAGGACTGGTGGTGAAGTTAACTAACCTTTTATTTATCCAGTCATCTGAAACAGACAAAAGAAAGAGCAAGCTTCTTTAAACAGACAAAGCCAAAGTAGATGCATTGCAAGAGGCACTATAATAAATTTAAGAAAAGCCTGAAGTTAAAAAGGAAAAAATGAGGCCCTATGAATCCAGTTCACCCTCTCCCCTACCCAATACACTGCAGATTTGAAGCAGGAGTGGGTAATTCACACTTATACTGTTCACTGAGCTATTGCATAGCTTCTAGCAAGTCACAAGTACTGTGAACACTTACTTTAATCTTTTCCATATTGAGCAAACATTTTTTAAAAGGACAGCATGAATAGAATATATTTTAAGCATTTGCTGGCATTTTTCTACAGCAGTGTCCTAGCTTTGTTTCTGTATTAAATTATCAGTTTGTCCCTCAGTATCATATGAAGTATGCAAATTTAGTGCTGGTTAATATTTTATCCACACCTCTCATCTCTCCTATATAAAAGGATACGTGTTTCCTTAGATCTGACATTTACTTCAGTTTGACATAACCATCCCTGTAAATTATTGTTAATACTAGATTAGGAATTTATGAAGGAAGGTTATCAAATTTGGTATATCGTTTATAGTTGCCTGCAATACCAATATTTTTAATTTCCTTTTGCATCGTTGTTCCAATATCTGAGTCTGAGAGAGAGAGAGAGAGAGAGAGAGAGAGAGAGTGTGTGTGTGTGTACAAGTAAACTTAAA